CCCTGCCGTTGGGAATTCCCCGCCCCGTCGCCCAACCTCGTTTTTCCAAGTTATTCTTCAGGAGGTGAAATGACGACGTTAATAAATATAATTTCTGCCACGATAAGGATTATCTGGCTCAGGTGAGGCTTCGGGAGGCTCAACCCGGGCGCAAGGATGTCCTCTCCAGCGAGGAGCCCCCTAAGGCCCATGGGGGGACCCCTCCTTTCTCACAGAGGAACCGCATCCCGCTGCTTTTGGCCCCAAAATGAGAAATGTTGGGGGGGGGGGGCTTTCCCCACCTCCCCTTTTTGGTTTGGGGGGGCTGAGGTCTTCGGTCGCTGCCCCTTCCCGTGCCAAGGGTCTTGCCCCATGCTGGGCACCATGGAAGCCTTGACCACCCCCCTCCCCCAGCTATTTTTGGAGGTGGGGGGGGTGTCACAGGGACGTTACGCCTTCTGCCGACGCCTGCGAAGAGAGGAGGGAGTGGTGAGGATGGGGTCTCCCCGTGGCATCCCCGGTGCCGACTGCGGCACCGGCACTGCCTTGGGCACCTACCGGCGTGGTGGGTGCTGCCACCTCTGCGTTGGGCTTGTAGGAGCTGTGTCCATAGCGGCCTGGAAAAGGAAGGAGGGTGAGGGTCTGGCGAGGGTGGGGGTCTCCCCACTGAGGGGTTGGTTTTGCCACCCCCACAACGGCCCTCACCTTGCCGGGGCGTGGAGCCTCTGCCGTTCACGTGGTAGATGCCAGTGGCACGGCCGTTGCGTCTGCCGTCCGGCCAGCTGCTGTCCTCACCGGTCATGCTGTAGAGCTGGGAACCGGTGAGCTCGGGCGTCTTGTGGGGGGGGCTGGGGTGGGGGGCAGATGTGGGAGCTCGTGGGGGTTGGGGAGTTGAACCCTCCCACCCCCATGGGGAAAAGCTGCTGCCCCCCAGATTTTGGTGAAGGGGTGAATCTGAGGGCAGCCCGGCTTGCTACCACCCCCAACTCTCCTCCCCGGACCCCCCCCAGCCTTTTCACCTGGTACCGGCAGATTTCTTCTTCCCTTGGGCCAAGCAGATGGTGAGGATGACGCAAAGGATGAGGAGGATGAGGAGGGTCAGGCCCAACCCCAGCCCCAGCCCCAGTTTGCTGATGTGGATCTGGCAGCGGCTGCCGGTTGTCAGGTACCAGGGCACATCTGGGCAGCTGTGGGGGTGATGTGTCATGGGGGAGGGTCCCTGCCCCCTGGATCTGGCCCAGGGTGGAGGTTGGGGATTCGGATCCTCCAAGAAACCCACCAGCTTCCCAGGACCCTTCCCAGAGCTGGGGAGAAGCCGGGAGACCCAGCCCCATCTTCATGGGTTGGGATTGAGGTTTGAGGGTGGAGTCAAAGGCTTCTGGGGGTCAAGGGTTGGGTTTGGTGCTTTGGGGGTCAAGGGCTGGGTTTGGAGGGCAGGAGTTGGGGTGTTGGGCTCAAGGTTTGGGGCTTGGGAGTCAAGGGTTGGGTTTTGGGTTCAAGATTTGGGGCTTGGGGGTCAAGGGCTGGGTTTGGAGGGCAGGAGTTGGGGTGTTGGGCTCAAGTTTGGGGCTTGGGGGTCAAGAGTTGGAGTGTTGGCATCAAGGTTTTGGGTTTAGGGTCAAGGTTTTGGGTTGTGGTGGGAGCTTGGGGGTCAAGGGTTGGGGTGTTGGGCTCAAGTTTGGGGCTTGGAGGTCAAGGATTGGGGTTCAGGCGACCACCAGGGTTGGGGCTGGGGTGGGGTTCAGGGTCGGCTTAGGGTTAAGAGGTTAATGCTATGACTGGGAGAAGGTTTGGGTTAGGGCTGGGGTTACGATTAGGGTATCGTTAGGTTTAGGACTGGAATCAGGTTTACAGTCAGCATTATGGTGAGGGTTGAAGACTGGGGGTAAGGTGGGAATTATGGGTAAGGGACAGGGGAGGTTTGGGTCCACTCACAAGCAGTGGGGTCCCTCCGGCGTCAGCCGGCAGAGCCCGCTGTTGCAGTTGATGGAGCCGGGGACGTTGAGGGTGCAGTTGGTGATGCAGAGGAGGCTGTTCTGCAGGCGGTAGGGAGAGTAATGGCGGCTGAAGTTGGCCGGCGCGTACTTTCTGCAGAGCTCTGGAGAGGAGAAGCACCAATCAGGTGAGCCCTGACCCCATCCCACTCCCCGTGGCGGCCCAGCCACCCGCGCTCACCCATGGCGTTGAGCACCGACTCCTCGGCGCGGGCAGCTCTGGAGGGGGGCGGGTTGAAGCAG